GGGGGGGGGGGGTGTTTCTGGAAGCTTCGCAGCTGCCCTCAGTCGCTCCTGGGTGGCGGGAGCGGGCGGTGGCTGTCTGAGGGCTGTGTCCTGCCGGGGCGGTGTCGCGGCTTGTTCCCTGGCCGGGCGCTATGGGGGTGACTCAGGAAGCGGGGTTGTCTCCTCAGGCCTCGCCGCTGGAGCAGGATCCGTGCGGGGGAAGCCCGGCTGGCTGGAGCCGGTGAGCTGGAGGGGGCGGTTGGCGGGAGGGGAGAGGCCGTTATTCGCCTGAAGTTGAACGCTTTTTTGGGTGGGGGACACCCGTTAATCACGTTTCTTTTAATTACAGAAACTCTCTGGTCCCGCACGGGAACCAGCACCGGGGGTGTCCGGCGGCTCCCAGCGGTGAGTGTCCGTACGCAGCCTCCGGCGGGGTTTGCCGGGTGCAGGCCGGGCGTGTAAGGATACCGGAGATGTGTCCCGTGTGTTGGAAACACTGAGCTCTCGGCGGCTCAGCGATGGGAGGTGGGGGTGGTGCTGGAGATCAGAATTAATCCGTTTTCTCGTCTTAGCTGTGCCCTGTATAGTGCCTGTGACCTTGGCCTTTGCTTAGAGGTGAAGTAGTGAAACTTCAGCTTTAGTAGTAGTAGGGGGAACGCTGCTTAAAAACTCGTGTACAACCTAGTAGCCTTGATTGAGTTCAGTAAGGTTTTCAGATTTATTTGGTAATTTTTGGTTTCTAGTGAGCACTGAATAGAAATTCAGTGGTAAAGCAAGCTTCCTTAAACTGTCAAATGGTGACGTCACTCAGGGTGTAAGTACTGGTGATAAGACAGTTACACCCTCGAATACAGTAACCTTTGTAGATATATATAAAATGGCTGCCACTAGAGAGACAGCCATTTTAATTATTAATATCTGACGTTAACAAGTGTTATATTCTTTACAAGTCACATCCAGTGAATCATTAGCTGTAGTTTTCACTAATTATGTAGAATGTTTTTAATAGCAGTTTGCTATTAAATATGCTGCTGGCACGTGTGGAGCTTTGTTCAGATAATTTTGTAATGTGATACAGTCAAGATCTTGAAGTGGCTGCTTTGTACCTTGAAGGTACCTTTTTTTTTTTCTTATCCTTGTTGGAAGGAAACGGTAAAATTTAACTTATGTAGAACTGCAGAAGAAAAGTATTGAGTTTATACTGATCTGGAAGGCAAATGGTCGTTTTGCATTGTAAATGTAATAGGCTGTATTTAGAATAGACTGAAGGTAAAATACCTTGAAAACTCTCTTTGGAGAAAAGAAACAGTATTAATGTGTGTCTCTTTCACACAAAGCGTGTGCTTACCTAGGAAATAAAGGGTATTAACCTTAAAACCCACACAAAACAAATCTCGCTTCAAAATTCCACACAGAGCTACTCATGGTTGAAACTGAAGCCTTCTATTATTTCATATGGAAGGCTGACTACAGGAGAGGAGATGATGAAACTTAAAATTGTCATGTGTAAAACATGCTGATGGACTGGATGATAATTGTTGGTGTGTTTAATTATCCTTGGATTTTATCCTGTGTGTCATAATGTTGTTGCTGTACAAATGACTTGATGCATATAAATGAATAGCTTCCCCCTCCCTGCTCAAACAGGGACAGAGACCGGGTATTACAGAACAACAATAAAAACAGAACCAGCTTCTGAAAGTACCTGCATGGAGAAAACGGTGGTTAGGAAAACTGATGATATGACAGACTTCATGGATGACTTAACCCTCAGCTCACCAAAGAAAAGTGAATCAACTTTGAGATCCAAGAGAAGCTGTGATAGGTCATCAACAAGGTCGTCTAGCAGATCCTCTTGCAGTTCGCAGTCCAGTTCAAGTAGCTCCTCCTCAGCTTCCTCCAGGAGTTGGAGTCGGTCCAGGTCCAGATCAAGGTCATGGTCTAGAAGAAATGGTTCCCGAAGGTACAGAAGATACTCACGTTCATATTCCAGAAGCCGGTCAAGATCCCGTGGCTACACGAGGTACCGAGGAAGGTACCACACCAGACACTACAGGAGGTACCACCGCTCTCCTCCGAGGTATAGATCACGCAGTAGGTCATGGTCTCGTGGAAGATCTTACTACAGAAGGTCCTATTCGAGAAGCAGATCATGTTCAAGAGGCCGAAGATACTACGGATTTGGGCGAACAGTATATCCTGAGGCTTATAGGAGCTGGAGAAGCAGGTCACGAACAAGATCTCGGAGTAGGTCACCTCTCCATTTGAGTGAAAAAGGTACCTCAAAACATACAACTTAAATATAAGTAGTCAAGTTCTTGTCCATTTACTTGCTTTATAGAGCATAACTGATAATGGCAATGTGGAATAAAATCCCTGCGTAGTTAGAAAAATGCATTAAAAAGTAGTTCAGAGCATATTCTTTGCACTTCAGCTGAAGTTAAATATCCTAAGTTCTGATGAAAATTCATCACAGTTGACACTTACATAGGTGTAGGGATAGTTAACTTGCAGTTATAGCTTGCATGACTAGGTACGTGTTGATTTAAACGTGAAAGAATGACAGTTGTTCTTCCTCTTGCAGACAAGAGGGAACTCCTGGAAATTGCAAAAGCAAATGCTGCAAAAGCTCTGGGAACAGATAACATAGTCTTGCCAGCAAGCTTGAAGATTCTTACTCCTTCCAAAGAGATAAAAAATGAAAAACAAGAACATGAAGATCCTGGAGAGTCAGCCGAGGTAAGTATGGACTGGAGTGTTCTCAGTGAAAGGTAAACACTTCTTAAAACTTGTCGTCTGCATAGATGTGATAGGTTTTTAACTTTCTGATTATGAACCAAACCCTTGAACAAAATCTTCAGTTTTACCAAAATGCTAAAAACTACCCTAGAAACCACTGTAGCCCTTGTGTTAAACTGAAGGTACTGTGGGCTCTTCAGAGGCGGTGAGCCACAGAGTACCTGCAGGCTTTCCAGCACCAGTAGGCTGAGAAGTTGTAGTTTGTTCTTTTGAGTTGTTCTAATAGGATGTTGCCTGTTACTTAAGAATAGTTTACATGTTTCTGACCTAAAACAAGGAGTCTTCTTACCAAACCTAGTGAACAGTATGGGTGTCTTTTTTAAGGTTAAATATTTCTACCCTTTTTAACTGTTAAAAGCTTTTCATGTGCAACAAACTGTTTCCCAGAAACTACATACCTACCCAAGCACACAATGCATTTTACATACTTTATTTCTGTCTTATAGAAATCATGACTATGGTTCCAGACATGATGAAGAAAATCTGTTGGTAATTAAGGGACTTGTGGGCTATAGCTGCTGTGCATTTAAGGGAGGGAGAAACTTGAGCAGCTTAAACTGAATTTGAATTTTAGTTTGGTTCTGTTAACAGTGTGTTAACCTGATTCGTGATAAATAACAAAACTGCAATAACTGTTACATCGATCAGATACTGCTATTTCAAATGGAAGTAAATTTACTAAGGGTTTTAGACAAATGGTACAGGCATCCCTTTCATAATATATGCAATATATTCCAGATGTTGAGAGAGTACAGAAGAAGAGGCCTGCATCACTAGCAGATAAGTTTATTGTCATTATCCAAAGCTCTGCAGGATGGATATACAGAATTAATGCAATTGCTCTACCACTCCACTGCACTGTATGACAGTCCATGCTTTGAAGTGTTTGAATCCTTTTTAAAACTGTAACTGGGGCATGGATGGCAGGTGACATGTGAATTGGCACGATGACATTGATAAAAATACTGAATGCTTTTCAAATTGAGTTCAACATTGATCTGTCTGCATATTTAGTAGCTTACAGCTACTTTTGATGTAAATATCTGAAACAACTCTACTAGAAAGTTTGTACTGTCTAGTAACTGCCTTAACTTGGATGGAATAATGTATCCTTCCCCTTAAGCTGTGTGTGCTCTTCTCTAGCAACCCAGAAGACCAGCAGAAGACATGACCAAGAGTGGGATGGAGAGAGCAACCATACAGAGAAGCATTTCTTTCAGTCCTAATGTAAGTGTGATTGCCCAGGAAGGAAGTCCAGTACTTCATCCCTCCTGTGTTAGGCCTTTCCCAGCATTGGCTGCCAAATTAACGATCTGAGGAACAGTAACAAATTGAATTTAATGTTTTGATAATGGCTTTCTGGGAGGAGTACTGTAAACATACCACAGCAGTGTGTTTAAAATAGATGTTTACCTTTCAACACCAAGTAGTGTTGAACATCTGTACTGTAGTATATATTTGAAAGTGTCTGCCAGTGCCGGAACTTGAAATAAGTTACATTTTTCAGAAAAAGCAACTTCCCTGGATCCTGTGCCAGTTAACTGTACGTAATTGATCCTTGGCAGACATTGGGTCTCATGAGCTGGAAAGAAAACACTTATCAGTACAGATAAACTCCTTGAAGCTGACAGGTACATTCCTTCTCATTCTAGCATTTTTAAAGGTATTTTCTTTTTCCAGAATACAATGGCAAAACCAGTACTACAGAAGCCAGTGAGCCATGTTGTTAAAGAACCAGCAATTTCTCCAGCAAGAGAAGATGACAGAAAGGGAAGTCCCTATGGGCAATGGGTTCCTGTCAAGAAGGAGGAGAAGAAAACATTTTTAAACTTCTCACCTAAAAGTGCACCGTTCCGGGCACGCTAGCTGATTTTTCTTGCTGTCAGCATTACAGATACTTAATAGTGAGATTTGAAATTATCCGATCAGGTTGAAGACTTGTTAATACTGAGTATTTATTTTGAGATCTTAATTTTGGAATCTTAGGTTTCTCTTTCAGATCTAGAGCACAGTGATCCAGAAGCCACAGATGGGAATCTTGTGTATATTTGTAAATATTTTTGTATTGCTTTAATGGACTAGAGCTTACAGGTGGGTAACTTTTTCTAATAGCTCAGTAGCTGTTATTTTGGACACTTTACATTGTGTAACTGTTTACTTCAAGTAAATAAACTTTAGTTTTGCACTGGCTATTGGATGTGTGTTTGGTAATAAGCTGACGGTGTCCTGCAAGTGCTTATTTGCAGGTTTAGCTTTCTCTGGCCCTACTGTTACCACACAGTGCAACAGGAGGTAATTTTGATGTTATTTTGAAAGTGGATCTTTACACTCAAATTGTTCTTGTCCAGACTGGGTGTAGTTCAGGGCCTCCAGAGTAACTTCAGGTTCCCTTGGGGCAGCACAGAGCTTGTGTTGGGGGTGTGTGTGACTGCCCTGCATGAAGCCAGCATCCTGTACCCTGTTCAGTTCAATTTTCACTTCTGCTGACCTTGACTTAGCGCTGACTTGTTTTGATTTAGGCTGTTGTAAAAACAGCCTTTAAAAGTTCACTCTGTAAGGCAGCAAGCAAAGGGTGTGGCTGAAACTGTTCAGAGCTCTGGAATTCAGCAGTGCAGGGCACTGAGCTCCATGGCTCACCCAGACCTCTGTGCTGCAAAGGAAAGTGTGCAAGTACTTGAAGCAATTGGCTAAACTGTTGTGGTTTTTTTTGTAAGAATAACGGGCTAGTAAAATAAACTGACTTTGACTCCTCCACTCTGGAAGCTTCCTTAAACTATTAAATTGCCAAGACTAAGCTGGCACATGTACTAAGAATTTTGTGGCAACAAACATTAACGCTCGGGCCAGTCCCTAGTCCCTGCCCCTCTGGGGAGGAAGAGGACAAGGGGTAGTTTTGCTGCTGGGGGAAGCTGCCCTTTAACAGAAAAGTCACATGTTCCTCAAGCATTCTTTTATCTTTCTGCTAAACAAGTGTCTGGGGGATTTTACCAGTCTTAAGCTTTATTCTAAATTTGAGTTACAACAGTTTGTCTTTATTTGGAATGTGAAATTACACAAGCTGGTTACTTCTGCAAGTAAAAGCTATATACAGGTGAAGTTAAGTAAATTACTTCTATTACATTAAATAACAACTGGTTTTGCTAATTCCTTAATGAAGGTCTACCTATTTTTTTGAGAAAACTTAAAGCTGCCTGCTAAATCTCTAGACTAGTCTGCAGTAGATGCGGGGCTGTCAGGCAAAGCACAGAGGTGACAGGTCAGACGGCTGTTCCTCTCTCCAAGTTCTGTTTGATCTCGGCCGTGTACTTCCCGTAGAACCTCTCTGCCTTCTTATTGAACTTGGCGTTCCTCTCGTTAATGTAGTCGATGTCCGCATCGTCGTTGTAGGGCCGGCGCCGGCTGTACTTCTCCCGCTTCTCAATTCTGTAACACAAACCAGCAGCGGTTGAGGAGCTGTGGGTGAATCCCGGGGATTCAATTACACAGAGCTTCTCTACATCCTGTGCTGCTTTTTGTTTTATTTTTGTATTTACTCACTGTTTTTCAAGATCTGCAACCATTCGATCAACCCCTTCCTTAGATGGCACGTGAGTTCCGTGGAGAAGACTGTCAGATGTGGGGTAAAGCGCTTCACCACTGGACAAGAGTAACAGAGGGGCAGCAGTTTACAAAACTATCCATCACTTTGAGATTTGGCTGCTTTCTGTTTGATTCTTAAAGTAACACTTTGAGGCACTTAAACTGGGAGTCGCAGATTCATGTGAGAACACAGGTGATATTAAAACCAAGCTCTCAATTATTTTGAGACACTAGCACATGCCTTAGAGACAGAAATCCACTGAAATTCTAAATCTGCCTCAACACAAACTGCACAATTTCTCATCTGTTATTCAGTCTGTTCTTAAAACTGCCAGGCTGCTTAAAAAAACCCCAAAACCTACGCTGAGAAACAAGAATAATCTATGCACGCATTTAAGTATAATCTAATTGGCAAAATATTTAAACTCAGTAAGGCCAAGTTTGAAGAATTAAACCTCAATTACACCCCTGCCCCTCTCACCTATGGAAGCAGGGTACATTACCAGGGAGGCCGTGCATTAAAGACAGTGTTAAAAGACTAATATTACAGTGTATATGAGAATATATTCATGTGCTGAAAGGATTAAAGTCTTTAATGTTATCCAGTAATTTAGAAACACCACAGACGATATCAGATCACTGAAATCAAACTTACTACTGCTCTTTCAGCTTCTCGTACTGCTCCAGGTCAGGTTTGATCTGACGGGTTAATCTCTGGTACTGGCGCAGCTGAGCAGCTGCATAATCTATGGGAGAAAATGAACTGGTGTCAGGTTAAAAGTTTTTATTTCTTCAATTTGCAGCTGAATTACTAACAAACGTGTTAATTACAAACACAGATAACTGCATAGTTAAGCTGTTACCTGAAAATCCTAGATCTGGATTCTTCCTCTTCTTTTTCCTTTCCCACCTCTCAGCATCCTCAGCACTGATCTCTAACAGTTTCACTCGCTCGTAGTCCTCTCCTCTCGCTGCACATTCCTGACACAGCACAAAGAACAACTCAGTTTTAACAACAAAATAGTGGCCAAGCATCAAGCTTAGAACTACCTCAATCGGCTCATATACCTGCCCTGGGGCAGGATGGTAATTTAGATAATCAGGAGCCTAGTTAGGAGATAGATTTTTGGGGGTAACGTCTGTATAAGCTCCCAAGGCTGTCTAGCCCCCGTAAGGGGGGGCTTGGTGTCACTGCAGGCGCTCGGACTGAGGCTCAGCAGGGTTACAGGAAGCTGGAATTGTGTCTTTACCTTCTTCTTTTCCTCCACCTTCAGCTCCCACTCCAGCCGAGCTTTTTTGGCTTCCCAGTTTGCTGGCAATTTAAGTCGTTTATCTTCTTCCACCACTTCTTGGTGATTCAGCCTGCGCGCCTCGTTCTAGGGACAAACCGCTTTGTCACACGCGGCAACACTCGCTCGTGGAAACAAAACTGAGCCCCTGTGGATCACCAGAGCCTGGCCCGGGAGGGGACAGGGACACGCCACCGCGGCCGGCGAAGGAAGAAAGAAACCCCCGCCCATACGTGCCAGACGGGGAACCGCCGATGCGATGGGTGCAGCGGCCCGGCGGCACAACCCCCCCGGGACCCCCGGGC